CATTCCTTGTAATGACCCCAAATTTACTGTATGATCGTGTCTCAAGAGGCTCTTCTCTTGACTTGAGAGTTACCAGGCCTACTTTGTTCACAACTTACTTGTTGACAAGAAATAAGCACACGTACCCAGATGTTAAATAGTATGTCATACACTACTTTCATCCCGTGATACAGCACTTCATTATTGGTGTAATCAGGTGACTACAGGCAATCACACTGTTAGTAACACAGTCTGGAAGGTTAATGTACTGAATTACAGAAGGTGAGAAAAACAACACCTGCAGTTTGCTTTCTCAGTCTGTCAGGTGGTTGGGGGGGTATGAATTTGAATACCAGTATGTTCTGAGAGTTAGTGTGAACAGTAAAATTAGTAAAAAACAGTAAATCTGTCTCCATTATCTTAATGCACAACTACAATGTGATAACGACAAGTGTGGTAAGTGTGTACTGTATGTATTGTATAAGAATGCTTTCTGACTTATGGAAAATTAATGTTAGCTAAGGTTTTGTGGAATGTGACCTTTATGCACAGTATACTGTATGTATTCTTTTATACTTGATGCAGTAATCACAGGGCTCATTGGCTCTGGGCCTGATGATCCACTCTTCTGTGGCCCCAGGTTTCTCTGTGCAGGGCCCCAGGGAGCCTCTAGTGACCAGGCCTGGGGACGAGGTGCTGCTGCCCTGCTCTGTGGACAGCGCTGTCCCCCTGCAGGAGCTGGAGGTGGAGTGGCTGAGGACAGATCCAGACACCCTGGTGCTCCTGTTCTCCGAGGGGGAGAGCAGGCCGGAGTCCCAGCACCAGAGCTACCGGGGCCGAGCGGAGCTTTTCCCTCAGGAGATTCCCAGAGGAAACTTCTCCCTGCGGCTGGCCAATTTCACGGTCGAAGACACAGGAGTGTACAGGTGTGCTGTTTACACAAAGGAGGACTCCGGTCAGACCACTGTGGAGCTGAAGGAACAGGGTGAGCTGGGAACACAGACACTGTCCTCTCTGGGAAACATGAAGTTAAGTTATTCATAGCAACATCTGTTCTTCTGCAGCTGTATTTTAATTGTTTCAAGTACATTCATTGCCATATCACCCTGCATCTCACCACTGACAGCCCAGCAGGTGTGAGCCTGGTCAGTACCTGGATGGGAGACTCCTGGGAAAGCTGAGGCTGCTGCTGGAAGAGGTGTTAGTGAGGCCAGCAGGGGGCGCTCACCCTGCGGTCTGTGTGGGTCCTAATGCCCCAGTAACGGGGACACTTTACTGTAAAAAGGCGCCGACCTTTGGATGAGACATAAAGCTGTGGTCCTGACTCTCTGTGGTCATTAATAATCCCAGGGCGTCTCTCGAGAAGAGTAGGGGTGTTACCCCAGTGTCCTGGTCACATTCTCCCCTGGCCCTTACAAATCATGGCCTCCTAATAACCCCCATCTCTGAACTGGCTTCATCACTCTGCTCTCCTCCCCACTGAGAGCTGGTGTGTGTGAGAGGACTGGAGCATCATCCAGGGGGGGCTGCACACTGGTGGGGGTGGAGGGGATCCCCAT